AGCTTTCATCAGTGCTTCGGTGTGGCTTTGTAGGCAGGAAGCACAGTAAGAATAGTGCAGTCGGCACCTTCCCTGAGAGACTCAACAAACCCTCCTGGAGTGTGCTTAGCTGCCAGCTGGGGAATAAGTCTTTATTTGACTCTTGCAGTTGGCAATCAGAAGAATGTCTGTCAAACAAAATGGGGTCATCTTTGGGGAAAATGGATTTAACTAGCCGGTATACAAAAAGAGAGAGAGTGAGAGCTTGTAGTTGCCAAATCACTCAGTAGTGAAAACCTTCAAGTATCTGGAGTTGCATAACACCTCTTATAACATAATGCTTGGACCGGAAAAAAGAACCTAAAATAAAAGTAATAAACTATTGTGAGTTTTGTTTTGTGCCAATGGATTTATGGCATCAGAGACTTCGACACAACATCTGTGTGTGCTGCCATTTGCCCTTTTAGTATTTTTCCAGCACTCCATAGGAAGAAGCACTTTGCAATTACTGGAAATGACAAATGGCTTCTGTACCATTTCTTTATTTTTGGAAAGGACGTAAAACTGGAAAGGTCCAGCCCATTGCCTAAAATGCATTCAGTCAATCGAGAATTTGCCTTGTTCATGCAAACATAGAGGGACTCTAGATCTTCTCAGAAGTAAAGCAAGAACAGACAGTATGCAACCTATTTTGCTGGTGGAGCTTCACACCATTTCCTTTCACTGTGTCTACGTACGAGCATCGGGGGGAGCACGGTAGGAAGCAGCATAAGAAATTACCTGCTCCTTAAAAAACAAATCAGTTCTTTGCAGGTAGCACAAGGAATTTTTGTCCGCCTGTGTGTTACTCTCCCTAACCAGGTGGTAAAATCTCTCTCTGCAGTATGTGTGCTCACCAATAGGCTGTTATCTGCATTCACCTTTTTTTATAATCAAATGAGAACTATCCCACTCCTCAGCGTAAGCTTTTATCTTCTTCCAATTTAACACTTGATATTAGCTTCCAGGAAGATAATTTCTTTTGCTAAAATCTGTCAGGTTACAGTGGTTTGGACAGTTAAAAATCTAAGGTTTCTGACAGGAAGTGTAAGGCCATGAAATTTCCACATCCTTAAAAATAAATGGCCTAAAAGTTGAAGGCCAAAACCAGACAGAGTGGGTACTTTATGTATGACAAACAGAACGGAGGGTTGTATTTACCTCCGCTGATGTGAATTGATTGAGTGTTGAAGTCTGGGAACCCTTCACAGTGCTTTGCGTAGTGTCTCTTAGCTGGTGTCTTGTAAGCATCTTCATTTAACAGAATTTTAGCTCCCTTTTTTATTTTACTGATACTTGGTTATTTTGCTGGCAACTGTTTTGAGTTGCTGAATGTAATGGTCGGTTCCCACCAGTGATACTGTGCTCCTTGGAAATTCCAGTGTGGGGGTGTAGCACCGATGATAGAGTACAATATGGATAAAGGAGCTACACTTTTACTATAGTAAGTCTGGTTTTATAGCTGGAGATAAATATTCATTCATTGCCTGTGAGAGAGCATTCTGTTCAGGTGAGCCCAGCTCATCATGCAGGTCAAACCATCTTGTAGCTCCACCCATGATTATCATCATATTTTTTTCATATACAGACCTTCTCAGCAAAGATGTAGTTTTCTCCTGAATTGTCACTACAGTTAATTAAATTCAGCAGGACAAACACAGATTCGTGTGTGAGCTTATTAGAAATGACCCTTTCAATGACAAGGTTTTCATTTACCTTTTTTATATCTGTCAATGAGCCATCTGCTCGTGAATTAACTTTTCATACTGCTAATCTGCCAATCAAATCAAATCAGGTCTTAACTAAAAAGGAATTTTGGAGAAATTAAGTGTATGAGCTCTGTTACCTTTGTCCACCAGACTTGCAAGCATGGCAGAATTTATATTAGATCTTCTTGACAAGGTCTTTTTCCCATAGAAATATATTGCCTGGTATTGATTATGATAATTTCCTTTCCATTTTTGCAATTGCTTTTAATAATTCTGGTTCTATAATTTTGCCCCAAAGCAGTGGCAAGCTGCATCACATAGAACGGCCTTGTTTACCCTTTTGCAAATAATAACAGGGTCTTAATTTTTTTCTTACCTACTCTCCAGATCTTACTCACTATGCCAAGAATGTTGTATATGTCTGTGTATGGCATAACAGCACAGGACTGGGGGATTGCATTGTGACTTCTAAGCATCCTTCTGACACTAAATTATTATGTAGAAAAGTTGTATGTCCAGTAGGAAAGCTGTTGTACTCAGGCAGTGAAAGTAAGTTTTACCAACACAGTCATCTTAAAGGCACAGCTGATCAGTGTTTATTTTTTAAGCCCCTTTGTTTATTTGACCTCTTGTATGGTAGCATAAATAGGAAACAATGTAATGTACATGCGTTACTGTGCTGAGAAGTGCTTTCTCTGCGAGTTTAGCTGTTCTGCATAAATTCAGTTTTCTGCAATGCATGAAGACCAGATAGGAATGTTCAAATGTTTAGAGAAAGTCCTGTATAGTATGTTTATAATGAAACATATTTTCTTCCTGTCCCATTTTTCTGCCATGATGAATGACTTCCCCCTTCCTCAGTAGTCTAACTGTATGGTTTTACGAGTACAATAAATTTTCCTGGAGCAGTAACCATCTGCTGAAATGGAAATTGCAATAAATGTCATGCCAGTGTTTTGAGAAACACAAGTTCGCCTTAAGGAGGGAACCTACACCTGCAAAAATACCCCACTTAACCAGAAAACACCCTACATCAATCTTTGTGTCAGCACTTTCCTCAACTTGATGGGAATTTCCTTGTGCCTTAAGAATTCAAAGCACTTTGCATCTCGGGCTTGGTTCTTCCTGGAATGGGTGTAGAACCAAAATCTTTTAGACTTCCCAGAAATTAATAGTGTTATAAAAACTGGTGCTAGGTGAGCTATATATGAATTGTACCATAGTTGACTTTATTTGCATTTATATATCTTTTCAGATGAAACACTACCAAGGACAAGTGTTTGGGACAACAATGAATCAAGGGTGCTAATTTGATGTAGGGAGTGATCTACGTGCCTAAACGTAGGCTTATAGTGCGATTTGAGTCTCTCAGGTGTCCAAGACATCTAATGAAGCTGGGAGATATGATACAGTACCTATAGGAGACCCAAGCCCTTCTGAAGCAGCCGCTGAGGCCAGACAGGATGCCGTAACCTGTAGCTCTGCATTCTTAAGTGTTAAGAGCTCTGTTTTCGCAAAACTGGATCGAAATGGGTTGACCTAGGAAGAAACACATTATTTTCTAGGAAACAGGAGACAGTAGTGTGCAATCTCAGCCAAAACAGGAATGTGGATTGTGGTTATGTCTAAGTGCAGTTAAGTGACATGAGTACTTGGCTGAAAAACATTTTATTGGCAAATTTACTCTCATTGAGACCCTTTCCCTGAGCAGAAGAGATGAAAATACTAGCAAGTAGCTAGCAGAGGGAAATCTCAGCTGAAATTCAGTATTAGCAAAAAGCAAGGGGAGGTGTGATTGTATTTTAAAATATACCACAGTCAACTATATTAAACTCTGTATCACATTAAAAGTACTGTTATATTCAGTGAGAGCTCAATACTACTTATGCCACTATACAAATTAGCTCTCAGGCCTCTTATTTATATCGACCTGCTGGTCATTCTATTTCTTTTTACCTCAAGTCGCTAGTAACAAGGGTGATTCATTTCCATTCTGTCTTTTCTGAATTGTGGCCGTCCACATTTCCTTGCATAAATCCTTTAAAGTGCTTATAGAGAAAAAGAGAAGTGTTATTCTTTTCTTACAGTAACAAAGGCTATCAGTGAGAAAGGTGCCAAAATGGTTTTAAACTGGAAAAGTCCTGAGTATGATATGTCTGTGTTCTGGTTCTATTCATCTTTCACACACTGAAAAAGGAAATTAAGTTAATGGAAAGTATGTGATATGACAGCAGTTGTTGCTATAATAATATCGTGCATACAAAGAATGTTGCTGAGGAAATTATTCCATACTATTTTTGAAAGGACTGTCAGTGCAATACCTTTTTTCCAAAGCAAAGGCCAATGATGCAGTATTGCTCTTTTGAAAAAAAAAGGCCATCTTTTTGCAGTACTTATTGGAAACTTTTCCTTGGTTCTGAATTCATTTTGGTACGTTTTCAACAGGAAGAATAAACCCATCTCATCTCCAAAAATCTAACATTCTATTTAAGTTCTGACTTCACAGCCAAGCTTAAATGCTTAGTCCTTTTAGTAGTTTTTTATATGAATATTTAACTTGTTATTTATGTAATATACAATTAAATCACAGGGGCAGTTGAACAACTGCTATCTATTAGTGGATTAAAGAATTATGCTGGTAAAGGCAGCCAGTCTAACACCTATTCCCACTTACATTATTTGGATATTTCAAATAGTTTAATGACTAACTTGCATCTCATCCTGATCCCTGTCAGGGATGTAAATTTTATTTTATGTCCTGATCCTTCAGACTCAGAGGCAGGCACATATATGTGAATATCCTCACTTGAATTTCAAGGGAGTATAAAATCTGCCCCTGTATATGAGCTTACAGGACTTGACATGTACTGAAATCACACAAATTAAATGAAACTGAGGTTGAAACAGGACTGAAATCCTGAATCAATTGCAGCGGATTGCTCTGTGCTGGCTGCTTTTCCTGATGAACTCCTGAAGTTCAGCTTTCTTCCACTAAAAAAGTTTTTGCTCTAACACCATTTATTTTTTTATACAATAATGTTAGTGAGTCTGAGCACCTTTGTGTAGAACATTTTAAAAGCCAAAGGAGAAAGCCATTTGAGCTAAGTATTCTCCACCCCCCCCCCCCCCCCCCCCGTATATGTATATACACATACACAAAAAAAATTGTATCTTTGTGTGGGCATACTCCGTATTTCTTCTTGGTTATTCAAACAACTTTTCTCATTGAAAGTGAACATTTGGTCATTAATTTTTTGGTTAATTTTCATGTAGGAAGTCTCCAACATCCACTTGCTATAAAGAAGACCGAATGAAAGATGCCTTAGAATTAGGTAAGTTATGTCGAGCTTCAGTTTGGCTTTTACTATTGTATTCTTCAGAGCAGCTGTAATCAAATATGTATGAGTCGCTTCTTTTGTAACTCTTAGTTGATTCAGAGTAATTGCATTTGCTATTAACTTCTTGGGTAAGACTGTGTAAAGAAGTCATTAAGAACTAATCAAACAAAGGCTGGCTCATGCATTTTTTATCTGTCCTTTCTGGCCAAAACAATATTTCCTTTTTTATAAAGGTGGATGACAAGAAAGTGTTAATTGTCATATTGATGACCCCCTGGCACTGAGCCTGCTGGGGGAGGCATTTTTTTAATCCAAGACATTATAGGATTTTTTTTTTCTTTCAGTTGATGTTGAGGATGAAGAAACAATTGGAGAAGTTAATAAGAACCCGGATCTTTCAACACTGTATATGCTTCAAGTAGTATCAAAGGCAATTGATATTTCTCTTGCAAAAGTAAGACTAACTATGATGGTAAATACAAATAGATGTGTGAGAAGGTTATTTCAGTTAAGTTAGCCAAAGCTGCAGTGGATTGCTCTGTGTTGCATGTTTGTGTGCGTTTTAACATGCTGTATTAATTCCTGAGTATATTCCTTATCTGGTATTCACATGAAAAAGTAATGTAGGGATGCCTGTCCAAAATTCAGACAAATACCAGAAAGGCAGGCCAGAATGCATCAGCCCACTTAAAGCACAAATAATAGCTTTAATTAATGAAGCTTGTATTATTTTATTAATGCCTGTAGTCAGTTATTCGTGTGCTTATTCTCCAGTCCTTTAAATTCGCAGCAGTTCAGAACAAGTTTATTATTCCCCTATCACTGTTTCTCCCTTGCTTATCTTCTTTATTATGAGCAGAGATGGAACTGTTAAATACTTTTAATATTTTCCTTCCCATGCAGACGAGGGAAAAAAAACAGACAAAAGTTAATGAGGGTGTCTTCCAATTTCATTTCTAGATCAAAGAGTAACTGTACAAACACTGAGCAGTCTGTTCTTATTTACTCAGCTTTATTGTAGCATGACAGCAATTTCTTCAGTTTAGCTATTCCTGAATAGCAGTGGTCTGCAGTTGTTCAGGGCCGAGATCCGAATTTGGCATATGCTGATATGCCATCCGACATACAGCAGTCAAACATTTGAGTAACATTTATCTCCTACCAGCAACAGGCAAAACAGGCTGCCTTTTCTCTGTACTGTGTCCAGCAGGGTCCTTTTCTCCCTAATATAACCATTAGTAGGCATTGCTCTTGTAGCTGTTAAATTTAAGGCAATATTCTGTAATGCTTTCATGGGAAACTGTGCCCCAGATGATCTGCATAAACAGTTTCCTATGCTGAGCAGCACACAGTATTATGAGCTGAAGCAATATTGCAGGAAAAGGAAAAAATTGCTCCTTTTCATTTGAGTGTTGCTATTTACGGTATGTATAAAACAGAAAAGGGTGGTTATGGTGAGTTAGTCATTACCCTTCCACACTCCTCCTTTCTTTTCGACAAATTACTGCAAGAAAATGTACCTGTGTTTTGGATTTGGTTTTAAAATGAGAACTTTTTCTTTTTTTTTATAGGAATTAAAAAATCTTTTGTTTGGCTCTAGTCTTTGTTGCTTCAGTGAAGAATGGAAAATACAGAGTTTTACATTTAAAAACATACCACAGTTAAAATATGGCATTGTGCAAAAAAAGGTACTGTAAATTACTTCCTTAAAGTGATGTTTGCTTTTTACACTGAGATTACAAAGGCTATGTGTTTCAGCAGTAAAAAAAAAGGTCTTCTAAAGACTATTCTCTTTCTTTAACTTCCCTGGTTACCACTGGGTGATGTCACCTTGTCAAGTCTTGTTAGGAGACTTGAGATGAATAGAGTATTTCTGAGGGAAACTTAAAGTAGCTACAGAAGGTGTGCACACGTGTGTGTGACGGTGAGTTATACGTAGGGAGGAAGACAAGGCACTTCAGCTGAAAGCTAGTGGTGGTAAAAGAATAAAAGAGCATAAATCAAGGGTGGAGTTAAAGAGAAAAAGGATATTTGGGGGCAATGTTTAACAAGTTTAAGATGGAGCTTGATCTGTGCCAAAATAGGGGGGACGTAGCAAGAATTGCCTGCGGTGCCTGGGAAATCACAAGGGGATTTTTGCCTCTTAAAGATATGGGGGTCATATGAAAAGGCTCATTCCTAAAATAAAAGGGAACAAATGCCCCTGCAGTGTCACTGGGGCTGGGACACTGGGACTGCTCGTGGGACCACCTCTTTTTCAGCCTTGTTTCTGTAATTCTGCACTGCAGCCACAAAATGCCAGCTCCTCCCTAAAACAAGGTTTTCATCAATTCCTAGGCATCATCTACCAAGTGGCTCTTTCTAAAATCTCCAGCAGGTCCCTGTGGTGACCAGAGCTGGTAAAACTACCATGCCATGACTCGGGTCAGCCTGGAAAGCATGTATCAAATCCATAGAAATTTTTGGTGCTACCAAAGATCTCTCTGGTCCAGGGCATTTAGTGGGAGACTCACTCATCTGGTGTCTATCTTGTCAACCTTGCCTGGGCACCTGACTTGCACACACTGCAGTGCTTCAGACTGTCCTTCTCCTCTGTATGCCAGATGCAGTTGGTCAGCCTGGTTTCTCAGCTGGCCGATGCGTAGACTCAGACCAGGGACCACACGCAGGGCACAGGATACGTAGCTGCCTCCAAAATCAAACAGATCCATCGTAAAAATGCATCCTCCTCAGCTGCAGCTTAATGTCTCTGCCCTGTCTCTTAATGTCTCTTTTGTCTCTGCCCTGTGACTCTGTACATATGCTTCTGGGATATCTACGCATCTCTTAAGAGCAAGGATCTGAGGACTTCAGTAAAGACTAGGGAAGGAGCGGACTCCTCTTTACAAAACACTCATCAAGCTTCTGCACTGATGCAGAAAATCTTTATCTGGCCTGAGAGAAATAGACCATTATGTACTATACAGAAATGAGAGGAGGAGAGGCTTTAGGGCAAAGACAATGGCTAATAAACATGTCATTAAGGTGTTTAATTCACTTACCTTGTCCAGCTAAATATTTCATTAGGCTGATGATCTCAGAAGAAAGCTGCTTATGTTTAAATAAAACCTAGCGGAAAAAAGATATTAAAAGTTAATTTAAACTCCAAAAGGAACCATGGCACTAATGGTCACTGGTCCACAGTAAATGTTACTTTGGTGTTTCCAGACCCTGCTGCTGAAGAAAGGATGTCTCATCACTTCTAGTGACTCACTGGCCATTAAATTCCCTACCATAAATTGCACAACAGGAAGGGTAGACTAGAGCATTTTGCTTAGATGTGTTTATTTCAGATTGTTAATATATTCCTGCTCACTTCCAAAATTCATTTCAGCTGAACAATTGTTTGATTCTCTCCTACGTTAACTTTCTGTGGTGCTACAAGAAGATATTTAGAATGGTTCCTTATGATTTTTTGACTGGGAGGCTTTCCCTGGTGGACTGAAATAAACCTTGTTTTTTTCCTTAATATATTTCAGACAATTCAGTCATTAGTTATGTAAGTAACTACAGAGAGGTAGTGTGTGTGCAATATCAATGAGAAAATGGAAGGTATCAATATCTAAGCTATTTTCTGATTACAGGACCTTTATTTTCTAGGTTGCATACTGTGCATACTGCATGTACCTGCAGGTCCCGTTCCCTTAGGCTAGATGCTGTACTTAGGACACCCTGAGAATTAAACTGATCACTTTGATCACATTGCTATTTGAAAACAGCAGTGCTGGCTGCACTTTTCATTCTCCTCCAGGGTTTTGAGAGGAGTTTGACAGATCGTAAACTGATTCATCACAGCCTGGTCATGATCTACAGAGGAAATTGGAAGTGCAATTGTAGCATATGACAGCAGTGCGATCCTGGGTTTATCTCATGCTGTGGAGGGTAACAACAGCGTAGACTTTGGCATCAGTTGAAATCAGAACACAGACTCTCCAGAAAACCTGCTGGGTGTTCCATAGTTTCTTATGCTCATTGTTTTGCTTACTTTACCTGGGTAGAGAAAGTTACCCTGATATGTCAGCCTATATGGGATGTTGGGTTAGGGAGGATCTGTGTTAAAGTAATGGACTTCCTAATGTTAAGAATGAGCCTGTTTCTGAGAATGGCAGCATGTGCTGCCAGACACATGGGACAGCATCTGTGGGATTTAATATGCTGAATCCTCTGTTAAGGTCCAGTAATTCCCAGTAATACCAATGTGATGTGTGGTATTGTGGTATCTGTGATTAGTCCTGCGTAGCCTGCTGTGTTCATGCATAGACGCTCCAGACAAATGATGACTTTTCTCTGTCTCCTCAGCAAACTGCTTGAGTAAATAATATGATACGAGGCACCTGGGAGAGAATTGAGTGACAAGGGAAGGAGTTATGCATTATGCTGCATGAAGTTTTCTAGACAAGAAGAGGGCATACAATTTGCTTTTGAGGACAACTTGTGCAGTGTCTCTGCCATATAGTTAACCCATAGGAATAGGTCTTGGTCATGCAATGGGATCAGGTGGGCTAGATGGCAGAGAATAAGCAAAGAGAAGGAAATACATTGCTACCACATCCCGCAGTCTTTCAAAACAGTTATAAATCTATTTTCCATAAAGTTTAAAGTTAATATGGTATTTGTTGGTATTGTGGTTTTTTCCCAATATTAATCGGTTGAAAGTTTCAAACTTGTTTGTTTTCATTCTTTTCCCCAGTGATATAGCTACCTGGTGCAGAGGACTATACATAAAACTGAAATCTTTGTTTAGTGATGTAAGTGGGAACTTGAGGGGAGGCATAGTGCTCAGAGGAGGTAAAAGAGCAAGGCTTGTTTTCACCCTTTGGAAAAGATTTGATTTCTGTCTGGAAATTAAGATAGACTGTGGCTCAGTAGGGGTCAGGAGATCTTTCATTTGTTGGCATAATCACAGAACAGATTTAAAAAAAAGAAGTGCCTTTGATGTTATGGATGTCTAGACATTTTCAGGAAAAATAGGTGGGAAACACAATACCAGTTAGTAACACTGATTTTCATTGGCTTGCAAAAAAATTAGACCAACAGAGCCCACTACAAAGTCATGGGTGGAAAGAGAGAGATGAAAGAATAGCTTAAGCCTGAGTGGAAGCACATGGCTTGCAAAAGTTTTCACCAGCATCAAACAGTACAAATTGTTTTGCTCATAGGGTGTCCCATTATTCCCCTCAGGGTGGCCCATGTGGAGTACTGGCTGCAGTTCAAGCTTGTGTCCTACAACAGCTTATCTTTGCAGACGGCAACAGGAATAAAGACACTCGGTAAGTCAGCAGTTCACATCAGAAATATTTTCCATACAGAAGTAAAAACCTTTTTTCTCTGCTGCAGCCACTCAGGAACCTTTTGAGTTTGAACTTACTGAACTTCTCTTTGTCTCTGAGAGAGAAAGAAAGCATATGATTTACTTGTATTTACTTCCCTTTCAACTGTAGGAATTTAGAGGTTGGTGTTTTATTTGTATGATTACTTGCTTGTGATTAACCCAAGAACCTCTAAAAAAATCCGACAGCTTGAATTGAGACCAGTGAAAATTATTTAACCTTGAGATCCCATGGAGATGTGATTTCAAAGAAAATGTAATCAAGGTTTGAAAGACCATTAAATTCATGCAGTTTTTGAGACTAAGAATTTCAGGGAGGGTGAAAAATTAAAGTTATAGCTATAATTTTTTTTTACTTGCTACTGTGTTTGATCTTTCACAGTTAAACTCCTTAATAGAATGTGAATTTAAATTCTGTGTGTGTATTTTCTACTTACTTTAAAGGAATATTGTTAAGTATTGCTTGTGTCAAGGAAAATTGCTTGGACTGCTATAATATTAACATATTTGTCACTTTGCTAAAGGAACAGAGCTTATTCAATGAAATGCTGGAAAATAATGTCTAAAAAAATTACTTTATTACCAGACTTCTTGTATTTGCCTTTTGTTTTCAAGAAGAAATTAAGTCCATTACAAAAGAAAAATTTCACAAAGCTTTCCTGTGCTTTATAGGTACAGTTTGTTGGATAGGGATAATGGTATTTTACTGGTTTACACTGCCACCACCTTGTGTTATTTGTGGGTGATACACTGACCTCAATTTAGTCAGAAGAAAAGCTTTCATGCTGAGATTTTTCTTGAACTTCATTACCTTACAATGTAAAAATGTTCATCATGTATAAAAATTTGGCCTTAAATATACACTTTTCTGCTTGGAACTGTTTAGGAAAGTGACAGGGTCTCTGTTGATTTTCCTTAGTTTTGTCTGACTGGCACTTAATGTAAATTCATTGTGTGGGCTGTTTTCATCAATAATGGAAAGAAACAGGCACCTGTAGAACATCATTATTTCTCTTCAACACCCAGGATGGGAAGTGACAGTTAATCAAAGGATTACCGAGCCCTAGGGGGTCCATACAGGTGCCTAGGTCCAGGAGTACTAGTGGGTAGGCAGTCCTGATACAAGACACCTGGTAAGCCATTAGAAATGTTGAAAACAAGGCTTAGAGTCTAAATACAATACTGAAAGTTTTACCATTACTACTGCTATTGCTGTTGCTAGTTATTATTGGCACTGATTACTTGTGGACCCCAAGACAAGGGCCAAATAAACAAGACACTATGAATTCATCGCTTGAAAATTGCCTGTTCCTTGAAGTCACTTAAAGGCAATTAGCATGGACTGATAAAGAGGTAGGGTCAGTGGTATAATACCTGTGCAGAGTGTAATGTTAAGTTAATTCTACAATGTTATGCAGTTTAGCTTTTTTTCTTCTTCTGTTCAGTTCTTTCAGTCTGTAATTCATATGAAGAGCCTGCTGTTCAGAGCACACTTTTAAAAAGTACAAAAATTAGCTAGCAAAACTTTGTTATTGTAATTCAGATTATAATGAGAGTCAACTTTTCAAGGCAGAATGAGGCTCTTGTCCACATGAAAGAAAAAGCTCAGAAACTTCCATGCAAGAAAATCAGTACATATTTAGTACCTATCAGTACATATTTATTTATGACCAGGAATCTTCACAGAATTCACCAAAGAATTATTTCTGGTTGTGAAAACCAAGAATTTGTTTCAGCTTGGAGGACAGACAGCCTTTGATCATTTGCTCCTTGGTCCTTTTGAGTCTCAGGTCATCCTTAGTGAAAATAGAGATACTAATTTTTTCCTCTTTCAACATGTTACAGCCATCGTAAATGTAATGTAAATGTCATAAAATTCCGTGGCACCCAAATAAGTGGATTGAGGCCAGATTGTTTAAACTATAAGTGTCCCAACTTATGACAGCTACAACCTACCCTGTTCACTTGGCAATATTTGCTTCTCCTGTTTTTCCTCTCCTATTATCCACATGGTTTTAAAAGATCTTGGTTTTACATATTTTGTATATGAAAAATGCTGGTGAAGTATGTAGAAAGTCTCCAAGGAATTTCAGGTTAGCAGGTGAGCTCTTTGTCTTTATGCACAGAAATGCTAAAATCCTCCAGGCTCCAAAAAATGAATAGCAAGATGGACTGTTTTATTCATGAAATAAACATATTTTTCTTATGATGTGTTTGCCATGGGCAGAAGAAACTCTTAGTCAGTCAGGCAGAAAGATAGGGAAGTCTCAGAGCTTGAAATGAGAGGATTAATATTCCTTTCTAATTCTAACCTGAATTTTCAAATTATTAGCCACTTCACAGTAAGTGTTTGTCTTCAGGCTTCTTCAACATTCAAGAAATAATTATCCTGTCTCCTTCTTACTCTGCTACCTCTCAGACACATAAATTAGTTGCTGTGGTTCCCATAAATTTCTGAGTGTCTGTATTAGAACACAGGCAGAGATAAGAGAAAGTTGTGATTATATTATTTTACTTGAAATCTCTCACCAATTATTTCCCATATCTCACATCCTTCAGAGAGGGAAACATTCTCTAAATGAACATTATATTCAAGGCAGACATTGAACTTGAAAGTCTGTTTAATTTTTTGATGTTTGGTGTTTCTTGTTTAGTCTTTTGAATTATTAGATCTTTTACTCAAATGCTGGAAACAGGTTTTGACATCATCTCTCATGCTGGTAACACTATAAGACTGATAATATCTGAATTTCAGAGACTGCCGTTCTTGAAGCCACTAGAGAAAGTTCCAGTTCTGTGCTTCCCAGGGGCATGGATCTGTTGTCCACTTCTTCAGGTGCATGTGTTGGGTTTTATTCTTAAATCTGCCAGTTCTCCATTCTGTGACTTTTGGCCTCCTGGTCCTTTATTTCTCCATTCACATCTTGGAAGTTAGAATAACGGGGGATATTAGAAGTCTTCACAAAACACAGTTTGTAGGAAAAGTGTTGACAGTGTTGCTTACATGTTTGGGATCAATAGACTGCTGTAAACATTCCATATTTTTGCACTTAATTGTGTAAGTTCCAAGCCAAGCATCTAAGTGAAAATATTTCAGAAACAGTGAGGCTCCGTAGACCAATACTGGGTCAGTTATCATAATGTTTTAGGTCACCACTTTGGGTCATACCTTATTAAAAAAAATGCAAGCACAGTGTTTATTGCAGATGGTACTTTATCTAAAGTTTAGTAGTAGGTAAGAACATTATAGTGTAGATTTGTTGACAAGAGTTAAGAAATAAAAACTTCAGAAAGAAAGGAAGTATGAAGGCCTTTATAAACTAAAAATCATATTTAATATATATAACAATCCTGTTACAGAATGTTAAACCAATTTTATTACAGATTTAAAGATGAATTAGCTTCTCTTGTCCATTATTTGCCAATGCAGTATTGTTCCCTAAAGTACATTTACGTGTTTTTTTGTTAAATCAATTATAAATATGTATTCTGAAAGAGCATCCACTATTTCTTTGAGAAGATTAGTTTTCAGGGTATGGTTATAGATCTGTACCCAATCATTTCCTGTTGATCATACTTTGTTTAGTCTTCTCTTGATTTTGGTCCATTGCTCTTAACGATAATAATATTTTTGTTTTAATCAGTCCTTATAAATCAGACATAATCTTTAGTATTCATCTCCTAGAAGTAGAGATTGTGCATTTCATCTCTTAGACTCACCAGTATTACAAGCCTATTGTCATAGAGCATGTAGACATAGGCTAGCAAGCTTACAGTTGCTTGGCTTAAGTACCCATAACAGCGGTCTAACCATCATTATGAGCAGCATAATGATGCTTTTTGGGGATCATCTAGATCCCCCAAATGCAACACACTGCTGTTAACACTTGACCTAGGTGAATTAACTTCCCTCAAATTTCTCTTTCACTTCTGACTTCAGAAGAGGCCTACCCACTATGCCCAGTTTGTTTTACTAGCAATCTAAAGAGGAAGTTGTTCTAGATACAGCTCTATTCACTGGATATGATTATCTTCAATAAGATTCAAGCTACCTTCTGAAATGCCTAAAATGAGATTTAAGGTGGTTCACCTCAAAGAATGGTTCCAGAAAGCCAATATTCCAGTGGTGACTTCAGTTGCACCTCCCTCTTTAGAGCTCTTTAGGTGCTGAACAGCAGCACCACATCCTCGTATCAATTGTTCAGTCCAGTGCTGAGAAATCTTCATACTGCGTGCACAGTGAGCTCTCTCGTGGCATTTCATTCAGATGCTTAATCCTCAGAGAAAGGTGGGATTCAACTGTACCTTTATACCTGGTATGTCTTCTCAGTAACAACGCTAGCTCCCTGTGCAACTCACAGGATTTTTTTGTTGCCCATCCAAGTTGTCTCTTTCTTGACTGTAGAAAGAACTGAGATAGCTAAATGATAATTTTCCAAGGCAACTTGCCAGAGCCTCATTATTACGCATTATGACACCTAGTCTCTAAAAAAAATGCTTTTGTTCTTTTAGCTACAAACCTGCTATGAATCTATGTATACTGTAATTGGGACAGTTTGCCCTCTAATGAGTAAGCTTCCCAATACGCATTTTGGTACTTGTCTGTTTCTTGCATTTCCTGGACTGCAGTTGTCTTCAGCCTTCAGAAGTTCACAGGACCAAATGCCTCACCATGGCTATTGCAGACATATTGTGGCGTGCAGGAGGCAATGAAAAAGCAATTGTGGCACTGTAAGTAGGAGAAGCAGTTTTAGTTATTGTACAATGCTCCTATACTTGTGTTTGTTATATATGTACATAGTTTACAAAATGAAAGTTTTGTAAGATGTATTTATGCAGTCTAAAATGGCTCAGTGAGAAATGCGAAATGTCATTTCTGCTGTCTGTAGCTGGGACAGAATAGTCAAATTCTTTGAAATTGCTGTGAAAGATCCTGTGGATTTCATTGAGGCTAGGATTGCTCCAAAATCTTTATCAAGAGTTATTTTTCCAGATGCAGCATTTTACTCTAACAATTTTGTATTGCAGGATATTCTATTATGGCTGGGATTAACTTCCTTTTGCTGTAGTGGCCTACTAGTTACTTTGTTTATGCTATGCAATTAGGCTGCTTGTACACAAGACGTCTAACTTTCAGATTGCTAGCTTTGAGCTGTACTGGATCCTACACAATATTTTTAAGCGAGCCAGGTTTTGTGAGAATAGGTCATTTCTTTTATTAGGTCAACTAAGATAGTTGAAAAATAACAGAAACTTTTGGGCACAGAAGTTCTTCTTCAAAGCTGAAATAGAAGCAGCAAATTCAAAGACATTTGAAATTATATTTTGCATATTTTACATCTATAAAATGTTGCTTCTGTGATGATATTGTACATATGTTCTCTGCTTGTTTTAATGTCATTGCTCTAATATTCTTTTCCAATAAAAACAGTTATTAACATCTTAAACCTATATTTATCCTCTTTCTGTATAGAGAAACTTGTAATTCGTATTAAATAGACTGAGAGAGCACAGCACAGCTAAAGTATATGCTTCATTGATAAAAATTTGTTTAATATGTAATATGAACTTATGCAAGAGGTCCTTTATTAAAAAAGTGGTTAAAAATAATAATCAAAAATCTTTGGCTTATCATTTGGTTCATATAAAATGTTGATTTCTCTTTAATGCTATTTTGTTTCTTTTAACATGAGCTTTGGTTTTGTCTGAATATCCTCTTCAGGCCATCAGGAAGACAGCAGTTCACTCCCATAGGAAAATACAAGGCAGATGGAATCTTAGAAACTGTAAGGCTCTGTGTAACTCACAGTAACATTCTCCATATATCCTTTTTCTGGCTTTTCTTATTTTAGTACAATGAATCTGATTTCCATTGCTCTCAGTGTTCTAAAATCTTTTATGTCAAATTAGTTAGCTGTGATCCAAAACGCAACAGGAAACAACAAAATCCTGTAGTCTGTCTGGCTCTGAGTTGTCCCAGCGTCTGTGGGCAGTTGGGCGCTCTGAAGTCGTTTTTGTTCCACCTACCTTTCAAACTTATAAACTGTGCCTGCTTTTATTGGTATGCAGTAAAAGTGAACATGGATCCTTTCAAGTTGACCAGCATGGCTGTGAGCATCAAAAGGCAGTATTTTCTTCTCGTCTTACACAGAATTCTTTGCCTTTTTTTTTTTTCCTCCAGAAGCTCCAAATGGCAAAGTACTTTCCAGTTATGCCTTTATTTCCATCTGAAGCTCTCAAATGGCTTTGCAAACAGTGATGCCATAAGCCAGGCTTTAGTGGTTTAAGGAAAGATTACTGGCCTCCTAAATGGAGGAATGATGTGTCAACAACTTCTCAGAACCAGACAGTTTTGGAACAAGTGGAAGTGAAAACCTGTATAAATAGGATGAATGCAGCAGAAAACCTTGGCTATAACATGCTCTTCCAAGAGACAAGACAGATTAGATAATTAATATGTTAACAGAATTCTGAGCTGCTGGCTATTTCAGAGTGCAACTAACACCATTATGCTGCCTCTAAATACTGCTTATGAATGAATCAAAGTGTCTGTTCAATGAACTTAAAAACAAGAAGAAGCAGTATTTAAAAATTCAGAATATACAAAGTGCTGAGATACAATATTATACCAAGTAACAACAGTAAGAGGTAGATTTCATTAGATCTTTATTCCATTTTGTTAGTTCAAATCTTTCCAGTCAGATTTAAAGTTTTGTCTACCTTAGTTCAGCTTTCAGGTGATGAAAATGAGTTGTTATTGTTTAGTTACTTTTTCTTCTTCTTACATTCCTTCCCAGCTAATACTGCATAGTGCCACAAGATACGAAGATTTGATTGTATTTCTTCAGCAGAATATTCACCAGGTACTGTGTATAGAGAAGATACTAAACCTGTTATAGTTCAGCTTCCAGTCTTTCTGTGTTTATCAGTCTCGTATGATGTCTTCTGAACGTTGTTTCAAACACTATATGGACATGTCTTGCATTTTAACAAACAGAGCAACAAATTAAGCTTTAGCATAACTGAGAACAATTCTTTCTGTTTTCAGTTCGATTTGCATTTCTTTAGGATTGGGCAAAAAATGTACACAACAAACAAAATAAAACTAGTCCTTTTCTTTTTCAGTTTGAAATTGGTCCCTGTGGGTGCATCCTTCTGACTGTGTCTGTCATCTTATCAAGATCTATCAATCTGTGAGTGTCTTCATATCCCCGTTTCATAAACTGCAAAGCAAACAAGCTGTGCAAAGTGAGGAAACAACCGTGATGTACTTAACTCTCTGGCCTTTTTAATCTATCTTGATGTTTACTCTGATAAATATAGGGAAATTATGCAGATTTACTCACCTAATCTTGCCTTTTTTTGTTGCATACTCACACACTTGTGTGTATATATATATATGCTGTTAAAGTGGCAGTGATCAGTCCACCATATCTGATATAAATGACTCCATCTAAACATTAGGCATCATGTCTAAGGTAGTCGCCTATGCTCCCTGTCTTGACAGTTGAAAGCAAGGCTTTTTTAGACGGTTATTTATCTCACATACTTTAGGTATGTGTCTTAGGTAGGGATGAATAACTTGCTTGTGGTGCCCCAATCTCCGTCAATGATAATGATAAAGAAAGGCTAGTATAAAATGGATCAGGCAGCTAATTTGTAGATGGTTATAAGCAAAGTATGACAAATCTGGTCTCAGTTTATTGGTGTAATAAATATGCTGAGCTCTAAGGGGTAGTCATTATAGCCTCTTTTAAAAACTCATTGACGCTTGTCCAAGCGCAGTTGCAGTTAATTGTGCTTTTGTACAGATTAAATGTATTTCTGTGGTACTGTGAATACCAGAGTGGGTCAGGATATAAAAGCTTTCTTCATTTTGTCAAATTCCACTTTTGTAAAAATCTCCTAGAGTTATCTGCAAGTGAAAATAACTGTTCCCTGTCAACTTGCAATAAGAACTGACATGAAGAGAGCAGCTGCACTTGAAAGCAGCACAGATTTGATTTGTGTAAGCTTTTATTTTTCACAGCTGCATTGTCTTGAAAATAAATAGCAACTGAGTCCAAATTTGTAATATGCATTCAGTTGCTCACCTACTGAGATTCCTACAACCATTTACAGATTGGTTTTTTGGTTTTGTTGTAATTTCTTCCTTTCTTTTGCTTACAGTCATGCTACAGACCGTTGGCTTTTGCACTCTAACACAAATGATGTGATAATTTTATAGCATATGTCATTTATTCTCATTTTTCTAGGCTAGTTATGGCAGAGAGGTCCAGATTAGTAAAGGTATTTGAGCAAGTAACGATATATTTGGCATTTGGTAGGATCACAAAAAGCAGCAAAGTTCCTAATTGCTATTGATTGCGTTGCTTTACTTGATATAAAATGGTAAACATTCTTTAGTAATATAAGCAAGGAGCTTATTTTTCCCATCACCCCTCAGTTCTTAACAGATGGATTATGACAAGGCCAATCAATCATCTGTGTGTGTGTTTAGGGGAGCTAAGTGTCTAAAATGAACGTGAAAATTCCTTATGGTGCCTATTTGCATTTTTGGGTATCTAAATATTTTTACGGTTCTGGTCCACAATGTCAGAATTGTTTATAAAATGTAGCTCTATTTCAAGGAAGATTCATGACTTTCTCACAGAACTCCATTTTAAAGCACTGTTACTCTTCTAGCTTGGTACTGTGTAATACATTGCATGGGTACCTATCTTTTGTTTATAAGAAACAGGAATTTTTCTCTGTCACTAAATACAGTGGAATGTGTTTTCAGACCTTTGCATACATTTTTTTAGAAGTGAAAACTAAATTTCGTTTATGTAATTTTCAGTACTACATTTGAATGGCTATGTTGTAGTACCTCTCTTAGGATATTGGAAATATCAAGGCAAATAACTCACTGCTCATATCATCAAGAAATATGTACCATTTCGTGAATGTTACAAGCATTGTAAGTAATTATTTACATAACTGGCATAGTTCTGGATGAACAGTTGAAGACAAATAAGAATTGTTTTAGGTAGTGGAATTTTCATCCTGTAATACATCTCCCTGGGATTTTTTTTGGCACAGTTTTTTAACAGAAAATCAGTGTGTTTTTTTAAAAAAAAACCCTGAAAACTCTATGGAAGTTACAATTGTCCTGATTTTTGTGTGCATATTCTATTGAAAAAGCTAGATAGATTATTTAATTTTAGTTGAGAAGTTGACATATTTTAGTTTCTCAAATCACATTGAAATGCTTCTGTTTGGGTCAGTTCTTCACCATGCGCCCACAATACTGACTCTTTGGGGTCCCTTGGTAAATATCTCTAGTATAAATAATTGGCATTTCTTGTAAGCAAGTTGAAGACTAAGGATGGAATAGTCTTGAACTGTGGTTATCATAAAACAACGTTGTGTAAGATGCAGAAGTATGTGCAGTGAAACCAAACCAAAGCATTTACATTCAGTTCAACAAAAGAGAAGACGGGCATTTTGATTAATGAATATTGAAATGTTTCTTTTAATCAAAAATATTCTTCTAAATGTTTTCTGTTCCTTGAATAATTCCATTGTTTACTGAAGCTTTCACTTCAGGATATGATTAGAAGAAAATAACAATACCTTATTTTATATGGTAGGGAAGCTTTAATTACAAGTTAAAAGGCAGGGCACTGAATGTGGACTAAATGGTGAGGTTGATTAATTGAAGGATAAGTACCACTGTACCAAGACCTGTGCAGTTCAACCCATCCAGAACTGATCTAGAAGGAGTGCAGCATAATGAGACCACAAAGCTTACAGACTTCCTCAGAGCAGTTGCATCTGTGGACAGATGCTTCCCATGTCTGTACAGATGGATGATGGCATGCAGTTGTGACCGTGCCACATAACTCAGGAACGATGGCTGCAGTAGTTGGTGTGGTTCAGAATGATCAAAACCTGTTAGCACCTTCTTAAATCTGTGACTGAGTTCTAGCAGTTCAGAAGGTTCTCACAGTGCCAACAATGGAGTAATCTCATCTAAGTTTAGCCTTCTAAAAATTACACCAAATCTCAGTCCTCCCAGCTCCCTCTAATCAGTGAAAAGAGAACCTTCTCTAAGAGGGAGTCATCCCATCTGAAAATAAGTGTCAAGAAAGGTGAGGAGAATTGCTGTGGGCAGTGCCTATCTTTTTTCTTTGATTTTGGAGGGAGAACTACTAGCTAAGACTCCTATTTCTTAGATGTTTGCTATTTTGAGGGTAATGATCTATCTTATTTATCTTCATTTACTTTCTATGGAAATATTTGCATCTAGGCTTCCTTTGTGCTCAAAAAAGAGAAAAAGATCGTAGAATCATAGAATCGTTTAGGTTGGAAAAGACCTTTAAGATCATCCAGTCCAACCATTAACCTACACTACCAAGCCCACACTAAACCAATCAAGGGTAGACTAGACTAAACCATGTCCTGAAGTGCCACATATCATGATTCATTTGATTTATTTTGAATGTCTGCCTTAGAATGAGAGAAATCATCTCCTGAAATGCTTACTTATCTCCCCTATATAAAAAGAAAATATAAAAGACATACTCATATAGAGGCTTTACACTGTAAACATCAAGTGGTGAAATGAATTCTGTCTTACAGTGACTGGTCAATAAGATGGGTGATGAAATTCAGTGTTAATGCAAAGCATTATGCATGATGAAGAAACAGTATCAACTATACTTAACCTAGTGATGGGCTTTAAATAGACTTATAAAAAAGGAGAGAAATTCTGGTACCACTACTAGTAATTTAGTTATCTAAAGATATCAGTTCAGTTTTCTATGATAGACAAAAAAGAAACAATGTGTTGGGAGTTATGGTGATAAGAAATAAGAAAAGAGTAAAAACATGGTAATGTCTTTGTATAAATATATGATCTTGTCATGGCTTTATCTTGCATGTAGTCTTGTCTCCCCAGGTCAGTAAAGACACGTTAGAACTAGAACACACTGGAAGACAAAAACAAAGTTTCCCTTTAGTGTGGACTAGCTTCTGTGTGAGGACAGATGAAATCTTTCCTCTTCAGCATTGAAGAGGAATAACTTGGATGTGATAAAAATTTATACATCCATGCTAAGGTTGAATAAGGAGTGGTTATACATTATTTCTGAGTCTAAAAGCTTGGGGGCTGTGATGGAAATGCTCAGGCTTCGATTTTAAAACAAACCACAGTACATTTTTTCCACAGCATAAGTAACTTTCAGTACTGGGAGATGAGGAGGCCAAAAGTATGAAGAGGTTCAAAGAAACTTAGAGAAATTACTGGGACGTGTATGCTTAATACCTTTAAACCTACCTGTCTAGATGTAATCTCCACGGGCCCCTTTTTTGTGTTCCGCTTTGATGTTTGCTACTGCTGCTGCTGACTGGATGCTGGGATAGGCTGACTTTTCGTCTGGCTCCATAATTTTTACATTGTTACTGATTTTTCCTGTAAACAGAAATTCCAGATTTCAGCTGGGTCTATTGGGCAGTTATTCTAAATCACTGACAATCTAAGTATTTTTATTTAATGGGAAGGCATGCCAGGAAATGCAGAGTTTTGCACTGCTTTGTAGATTTTAGTAATGAGTTTATCATACTCCATGCACTAATGATCATCACTGGTAGAACTGATAACAAATGGCCAAAGAGGAGTGAGAATTCCTGAGGAAGTTGCCGAGAACGTGTTGTTGCTTCTGGTACAGGAAGGAATGCTAGTCACTAACAATTGTGACCTCTTTTTTTTTTTTTAAAACCAGTGAAAAATTAAAAAATAGTGGGCGTATTGTACTAGCTCAGGGGACTAATCTTCCTGAATGTGCAAACAGTGTACTCAAATCTTCATGTTGTTAAGAGCTACAAGATATTTTCCATGTACCTGGGAGAGACTGAGCTTAAAGGTGGGCTGCAAGCCCCCATGTGGGCCTCGCCGTTGTGTCTGAGAATGGCACATTGCATGTGGGAAAGTTATGAATACTCAGGAATGCTTTACACTGACGCAGTAATGGCAGCTTCAGCAAACCCCACAGTCTTGCTACGTATCTACAACATATACTGGAACTGCAGCACGAGCTTTCTCTGCTAGGTGCTGGCTCACCACCTCTAACACTTGGCACCTTCCTCACTGTGCTTACTCATGCAAAACCATTGCTGTACTGGGATGTGGCTCATTCTGGTCCATTCATTG